CTTTGAAACATACCATCAGAGGAATTACATGCATGTTGTATGTCAGTACAGAAAAACAAAGTATAATTCAATATATTAGGTTTATCTAAACATAGGAAAGTGAGTGCATGTACCCTATAACATTTTTTTAAAAAATAGAAAGAGGCCATGTGAAAGCTAAAATCCAAAATTATCCTTATAATGTGGGAGTCTTAATAATCAGCAGCAATGAATGATTTTGGCACTGATAATTTGTCTCTAGCAATCAAGTAATCAGTATAGGTTCAATTAAAGAGTTATTACTTTTTTTTATTGCCAGAGGGCACATGCACTTATGAGAAAGAGACATAGACAGAAAGAAACAGACAGAAAATGAGAGAGAAAGAGAAATAGGGAGAAAGCAACCCCCAATGGGACACAGTTACACTGCAGTCCCTTCTCCATTCCTACATCCTGTCAGTATTTGGCCATACAAACATGATGTGTTTTTCAAGCCACTTGGGCCAGAATCCAAACCATAGTCAGTCATATGAGACCCAACTCCCTTAACCACTAGGCTATGGATCAGCCCTAAAAAATTATTTTGAGCCATTTATAACAATGTATTTGTTAGATCTTTGCAGTTGTTTTTAAAACATTCACTTTTTTTTCCTCATTTGAGCACATAGCAACTCTCTAAAAGAGGTGTTATTTTCATGCTCACCTTTTAGAGAAGAAAACTTCAGTTACAGGACTCACATTTAACAGAAATATGGATCTCACACCTTATATCCCTTCTAGTACTTTATGTTATTTTTTCTGTGTGTCATGTATTCTGGGAGAGGTACAGAGCACATTAAGATGTTTCTCAGCAGCCAACTTGTATTGAGCTTTTTTCGTTTATAAAAAGGTTGACATTGAGTATCCCCTTTGAGTGTGACAATGATTTTATAATGCAATAGCTCAAATTTTTCAAGAAGCTTAAACACTAATGAGGAAAGCATGAGACAACAGTAGAACTAGCTATAAGACAGTGTTTGATCAGGGCTTTGGTTGATCAAAAGAGTAGGACTGATATTCATTGAGGAAGATCCAGAAAGTCAGCTTGCATTCTGAAGATAACTGAAACAAATTGATGCGTAAGCCAGATGAGGACTATGCATCTTCAAAGTCTAGTCCTATACTGGTTCCTTGAAAATTTGCTATGCTTCCTTAGCCAGAGACTTTTCTAGAGGAACAAAATAAGTACTACTTTAAACATCAAAAGTGAAGGTTCTCAAGAAATATTTCTGAAATCATTAAAGAAGGAACTGAGATACTAGACCAATGAATTTCCAATATAATGTCAATCTTGAGCAAATGTTCTTTTATGTGATATAACAAAGGGATAAACACAGTAACTTAAAATTGAGAAAGTTTGTCTTTAGGAAAAATCGTAAGATTCAAGACATTTCTCACAGTAAAGAATAGTAACAATTTGAAACTTAAACTCCTCTCACTTTCTTGAAATTCCCAGTGCTGGTTCTTGGAAGCCAGGGCATTTTGAACAAGTAGCATGGTGACTAAGTCTATTTTCTGCTGCTGTAACAGAATAAATGAGACTGGGTAATTTATTAAAAAAATAGAATTCTATTCAGCTTAGGGGTCTTGAATCCAAAAACATGGCACCAGCATCTGGCAAGTGCCTTCATGCTTCATCATTCCATGAGGGAAGGGCAGAAGAAGGACAAGTAAACTCCCAAGACAGAAAAGGAGAGGTGAACTTTTGAGATAACCAACCCGCTCCAGTGATAATGACATTAATTAGACACCTCTTGAAGGTCTCACCTCTTAATACCCTCCCAATGGCAATGCAATGTCAGCATGAGTTTTGGATGTAGCATTCAAACCATAGCAGCATCCTAGGATAGCAAGAAGTGAGGAAGTCAGATGGTAAGTCCAAACCACTGTTAGAAGAAAGAGCAGAGGGTCGAAACCAGAGTAGCCATATCCTTTGTGTAGTCTCAAGAATCAGTACAGGCAACAGAACAGAGAAATTAATTAATTAATGATTAATGTCACAGGATTCAAAGCTTTTCAGTGCTCAGACTAGTCTGTCCCTCCCATCTTTCTTGTAGGTGTGCAGATGATTTAGCCTAGGTAAAAGACATAGAATTATAGAGAACAATGATGTATGGAAGGAAGATAAATTGAAGTTTCCAGTAATTAGTAAACCTAAAGGTGTTTTTAGTCTGTATCTCTTGTCTAATTGTCTTCTTTTTAATCCAGATATTTTGGTTATCTTCTGTAGAATAAACCAATCTTTCTTTTTAAATTAACCGTTTCCCCACGTAATGTGGATAATTTTCTATATTTGGAGAAAAAATCTTGGTTAAGTTTTATGATAACCACTTTATTGTCTTCATAAGGCTTTCTACACTAAACATTACATAACATTAGAGAAAGGGGAGATTAAGGATATTGTACTTGCTTCCGTGAACTTCACTTGCACATGAAGATGAAAAGTTTAGTATTTAGGGAACCAGCAGTTAGCGTAATGGCTATGGCACTGGACTTTCATGTAGTCGACCGCAGTTCGTGTCCCGGACCCAGTGGCTTAAAGCTCACGCCGGGCACGTGTGCGTGCGTGCCCAAGATCCCGAGAGGAGAATAGAGGAGAAGGGATTGCGGCATGACCATCCCCCCTGGGGGGAGATTTCTCGCTTTCTGTCTCTATGTCTCTCTCTGTCTGTCTGGCGAGTGCAGGCTCCCTACAGCGAAAATCTCTCCAAAAAGAAAAAAAAAAGTTTAGTATTTAGGGAACCAGCAGTTAGCGTAATGGCTATGGCACTGGACTTTCATGTAGTCGACCGCAGTTCGTGTCCCGGACCCAGTGGCTTAAAGCTCACGCCGGGCACGTGTGCGTGCGTGCCCAAGATCCCGAGAGGAGAATAGAGGAGAAGGGATTGCGGCATGACCATCCCCCCTGGGGGGAGATTTCTCGCTTTCTGTCTCTATGTCTCTCTCTGTCTGTCTGGCGAGTGCAGGCTCCCTACAGCGAAAATCTCTCCAAAAAGAAAAAAAAAAGTTTAGTATTTAAAGAAAATTTACATCTCCATGGCATTACTTTGAAGCTATTAAGTTGATTGAAAAATATCAAGGGATATATAGCTTGTGTCTGTAGCTTTCTCTAAAGAAAAAAGAGTCTGAGTTTTGGTCATTTCGAAATTCCCATAATAAATATCTGTTAGCCTTGGTTGGATCTTCCAGCTGAAACATAGCCTCAGCCCAACAAGTTCTCCTGCTGTCACTCCCTGATGTTACCAGGCTTCTTTGTTCATGCTTATTGTTGCAGTTGCTGTTACTGCTATTGCTATTGTTACTGCAACAGAGTCACAGTGAAGAGCCCACTGTCTTCTTTTTGTATAAAAAAGGTCTACATACATTTATGTAGACCTTCATAGTTTGCAAGATATTTCCAAAATATAAAAGCTCTGTTAATCATCACAGCAAACCCCAGGGGCAGCTATTATGACTGCTTTTATGTAGCAAAGCTAAGAATGACTTTATGTGTTTAAGCTATCGGAGCAAATGTCCAAAACTTAGACTCAAACCCAGTATGTGTAATTTCACTGGTAAACTGAAACTAGAATCCTGTCCTCTGATATTTAGGCCAGGTCACATCTCTATCCTTCTGTCTCATTTTCAATGAACTTTATTATTTGGAGTATTAAAGTACAAGCATGCATTAATAGACATTTATTTAAAGAAGTGATTATTATTAGAATTTTAAACAATTTATAGAAAAGGCTATCTACTCATTTATACATCTTATTTTATCAGAGTTTATTAAATTACATATTAGTTATGTTTGAACATTTTTTTGCCAAGTCAAAATGTATGTGTCAATGCTTATTTCCCTTTTTATTTACATTATGGAAAACGCCAGTAATGAATACCACAAATTCTTTTAACTCTATATACTACCTTCATTGGCCATAAAATATCAATAAAGAAGCTGAAAATACAGCATCTTTTAAAACTTAAATGATGAAGTAATCATCTTATAAAATAGCAATAAGCAAAATTAGTGAAAACAACTTTTGAGATAGTCAGGAACATATGGAAATAAGCTATAGAAGAAAGGACAGAAGATGATCTCATTTATTCAGTGCCCAGTGCTTCTTGATATTTTCACAAGACATGAAAATTAACCTCTAGAAGGCATAATTATTATTCTGCCAGAGCAATATCCATTTGGGCAGGTTTTTGTAAATCGAATGCACAGACCCTGAGGAGAGGGAATTCTATTACTGTAGAGTCTAAATTCATTCATTGAGCACTTATTATTTGCAAATAACTATATTAACACTTTGATTTACTACTCTAATCCTGGAAGTTAAGGAAGTAATTATCCTAACTATATGAATGATAAAACTAAAGAATAAGGACGGTTAATCATTTCAGCTTTGCACAGCATCCCAAAGGTACTAATTACCAAGTTTGATTTTGAACTCAGGTTGTCTGACACCAGAATTTATATTTTTAGCTGTTGCAGTTCACCATGTCTGCCAATAGAATTTAGATGTCAAAATTTCAAAGGGTTGTTCATAGAGATCCATCATCTAAAACGTCACATCATCTGCCTATAAATTTTTTTCTTACTAAATTAATCTTTGCCTTTTTCAGTTAAATTGAAACTTGCCATGAGCTTTCTCCATCCTTTTTCCTTGAGTAAATAATTTCTATATGATGTCTAATGTTTTCCTTTGCTTTTGCTCTATTTTACCCTCAGAGAAAAGATTCTTATGAGAAAGAACTATATGTAAAGTAGCCAGAAAGTTCAATCTGTTTATGTAAATCTTTACTTATTTATGTACTACTATTGATACCATCTGGATTCCCTAGTTTCTGCTAATTTCATCAAAATGAAATGAATGATTTCAATCAGAGACATTTTACCCTCTACACAGATGTACTCTTTCATGGACTGTTTTTTCATGGTTTATCCAAATGGCTCATGAACGACCCAAGGTAGTAGTCATTTGCTTTTTCCCCCCCAGAAGCTCAGAAGAAGCAATTGGAAGAGAGTATAGAGCTGATCCAAGAAGAATGTGTGTCAGAAAATGCAGATCACTCTACAGAGGAGCCTGCTGAAGGAGGGCCAGATGCTGATGGAGAAGAGATGACTGATGGGATAGAGGAGGACTTCGATGAAGATGGGGGTCATGAGCTGGTAGGAACTAAACATTTGGTGTTCATACCCTTTGGGTAATGGCACTAGCATGTCAGCACTCCAGTCATTCTAAAGTAAGGATTAATTCAGTTGGGATTTCTTTCTTTCCTATATGCATATATTCAGGAAATCACCAGTAGAGTGCTTTGCACATAATAAGTGCTCAATACTTTCTTGCTAACTTGAAATACGAACATGTGAATGAATGAACAACAAAAATATTATGCGAGATTAGTTATTTCTCTTTCCCAAATACTCCATCGTGAAATGAATCTTGCATTTGTGCAGTTACAAGTGAACTGTAACTGGATGTAATATCCTGGTACTGGATGCCCATTTACTAGAAGATACCTGGCTGCCCTCTTGTTTGTAATAGTTTCCCTCATGGATGACATCTGTACTAGCTGTATGGCCAGCAGTTCTTTCTTCACTCCGTTCACTGAGATAACCATTTGGTGTATGGCCAGTTCACTATTTTCAGTGCCTGTGCTACTTGATAATTAGTTCTTATGTTTTGGGAATTTAGTTAAGATCTTTTTCTTTACATGTTCTATTTTCTTAATATTGCAACCATTACACTGCTCATTTCCAGACCATCTTTCTTGAATAACCACACCAGGGACTTGGTAAATATGTGCTCCTGATGATGTTATTTCTTATATTTTATCGACCATGAAATTAAATATACTATCTCAAAGGATTTAACTAATAAAATGATGTAGGAGTGTGCGAGCACGTGCGTGTGTGTGTGTGTGTGTGTGTGTGTGTATGTGTGTGTTGCCAACTCTTAAATATCTATGTACGGATCATATTTAACTTTTCTTACCCAAGGTAATATCAGAAATATCAGGTTCCAGTTTGTTTTAAGACCTATTGTTAGTTAGCTAATTTTGTCATGGTGTTTATGGCTTTTGTTTTGGTGTGATAACCACTTGATCCATTTTCTCTTTGCATTTAATCACTGTAGATCTTTCCAGTGTACCTCATAATTTTTTTTTCAGTGTGAATACAGTGTATATCAGTCAAGCCAAAGACATTACCATATACATTATCATCAGCAGATAACTTTTCATTTTTGTGCTATTAAATGTGTTCTTTGTTTTTTTCTCTGATCTCCTGCCTCCCACCCCCTATTACCCATCCCCTACCACTGCCCCCATACTGTGTCTAGTATCAGTAATTTTAAGGACAGCTTAATTTTACAAAATTCTATATTGACTTTGCACATTCCAGTTCCATTTAAATTTAATGGCACCTTCATTTAAACTTTTCAAATGTAAACTTAACAACCACTCCTGTCTCTACAAAAGTCTGTATCAGTTTGAGGACCTTAACCTGTTTTGAGCATTATATTGATTTCAGGGATGTACTGATTGATTAAGGATTAGAATGAAGGACAAACACATTTCTCAGCTTTCCCTTGGGCAAGACTTTAATTCAACAGCATGATTCCTTCTGATCATTCTAATCAGACTTCCATGGTCAAGATTCCATTGTCAGTGTTTTTGTCACTCTCTGGAGGCCTCCACGTACTATTTCCTGTGGTTACCTCTGTTCTTATTTTAACTACTTCTCAGCAGAATTCTGCATAACTGACCTTCCTCTTCTTCTGATAAATTCTCCTAAATTTGCCACTTAAACTATGGAGGCAGTTAGGGGCTTTGTTATGAGCCACTTTCTCTTTTTGGGACCAGCAAACAGCATAATGGTTACATCACTGGACTCCCATGTAGTCAACCACCATTCAAGTTCCTGGACCCAGCAGCTTAAAACTCATGCCGGGTGCACATGCATGCATGCCCAAAATCTCAGAAGGAGACTGGAAGAGAAGGGATTGTGGTGTGACCATCCCCCTTGGGGGTGATTTCTCACTTTCTGTCTCTCTGTCTCTCTCTGTGTCTCCAGTGAGTGTGTGCACCCTATCGCAAAAATCTCTCTAAAAGTAAAAATAAATAAATAAACCACTTTCTCTTTCTATATATATACACTTTGTCAAGGTGACTTTATCTAATAGCAGAGTTTTAAATATTATCTATAGGCCAGGTATTTCTAAATCTACATTTCTGTTCCTGATCTTGCCCTGTAACTTCAGACTCAACTATCTAGGTACCTATCTTCATCTACATCTCCAGTAAACAGCTAAAACATAACATGGCCAGAAACAGTCTTGATTGTTTTTTCCAGCCCTATTATTCTACCATAGTCTCCCTTATTCTGTTAAGTACCATCACCATCCACACAGTTATTAAGACCAAAAAAGTAAGATTATCTTTGGCAACCTCTTCACTTTCACCCTTACCTCCAAATCATAGCACAAAGCTAGTTATAACTCCACTACAAATACCCTCACCTAAACCATTATCATCTTTCCTCAGATTCTTCTTTAATTATTATTTGAATTTCTGATTTACATTTAATCATTGTGCACCTTTATGGGCGATGATATGTTTTTTACATTATATATACAGTGTGTAATAACTGAATCAAGAAAATAAATATATTAATTATTTTCAACACTTGTTGAAAATTGTACACACTTGATAGTCATTCTAAATTTTCCTCTTTTTTTGGGGGGGGAAGTGAGTGTGTATTGAATTCTCAGTGATATTTTTGCAGTAGGCAAAGATTTCTCCAGATTCGTTACTTCTAGACTAGTTTTCTTGCTTCAGTTTTTTGATCCATGTAATTAATCCTTTACAAGATGGATAAAAGTCTTTATACATCAGGTAATACCATTCCCTTGCTTAAAACCTTCTTCATATGTAGAATCAAAATCCCAAAGTGTATGAATGTAAATTGTGGTGAAGTTGGGCTAAGGATGTTAGAGAAAGAGAACTTGGTTAAGAGAATAAGAGAGAGTTTGCTAGGCTGAAAAGAAAGGGAGTCTAGTGTGTTAACCTCTCGAGAGAGAGGAGGAATGGACAGTATCAAATTTGAGAAAAATAAAAAAGATTTGTAAAATCTTTATTTCTATAGAAAATATAAAAGATTACAAATTGGAAAAACACGTAAAGATTGACATTGTTAATAACCAGTTAAGGTTAATAAACAAAAACTAATAGAGTAGTATTTTGCACACTTGAAGGTGTATTAGAATGACCTGGAACACTTAACAAACAGATTGTCATGTCTCATTCTGATTCAGTATGCTGAAGAGGGGCAGGGGTGTCTAGGAATTTGCATTTCCAAAAAGTTCTGAAATCATACTGCTGCTGCTGGTCTGGGGATCACACTTGAAGAGCTGCTCTTATGAAGTAGCTAAGAAGTTAATCTACCCAGCTGTAGAACTTTCTCAATTGGCTTTTATCAGTTCTGGTAAAAGTATGAAGAAAGCAAACAGGTTCAGAGATGGATTTTATCAGATAAGTGCAAAGAAAACCAATAAATAAAGGGAGACAAGGAGATCAGTTTAAAGAAAAAAAAGTGGCTGACTACATGAGTCACAGAATGTAACTAGAATATATTGGACAGAAAACAGGAGGGACTTGAGAAAGAGAAAATATAGGTCCAGCAGGAATAGAAGTCCATATGATGGTAAGGACCAGAGAAATGTAAACTAAACAAGAGAGAGACGAGGGTTGTATTTACAGACTGAGGTTTTTCGGAGGTACACAGTTTTAGTGATGGGCTGGTCCGTGGGAGGGGGTGATGGAAGTAGATCAGAGTAAAGGTCACCGCAGGTCAAGGATTCACAGTACGGACAGGCTCTGATGCCAGATGGGGCAACTGAATGTGCATAATTTCACTCCAAATACTGGATGGGAAGTGAAAGAATAAGTCAGGTACTAAAAGTCTCCCATGAAAAAGATAGCATAGATCATTTTAGTCCCAGATCTGTCATTATCCAGTGAGATTGAATCAGCTTAAACAAATAAAGTTCGGAGCCTTCAGGTTTTTTACCAATAAAATAATAAGGAAAGGTCAGAAATATCTAAAATCCATTTTGTTTGGTTTTCCCATGAGTATGTGTCCCAGGAACCACATGTCTGAAGGAACAAGGCTTGACCATGCAGACATGAAATAAATCCAAAACAATGTTTTGCTTATGCTCCAAACATGCAAAAAATTAAATGAGTAAAGCTCTGCTGCCTGGAGGTACTCAAGTGTTATCCATCAGCACCTGCATTATAACCATAGATTAGGGAGCGAAAGAATTAAATCCTATCTCTAGCAATTCATTTTGTTTCTAAAACTAGGAAAATAATGAATGGGGGTGAATTTAACTTTCAGTCTTTGTGATCTGCATGGAGACTAGTGAGTTCCTCCTAAACACTGGCCAAAGGAAAACTGTGTCCTTTCTAGATCACATAAACCTTGGTTCCTAAGAGGCAAAGTAAAAAGAAAATCTTCTCTTTTTGTTATAACAAAGGGTATTATAGATATGAATAGCAAAGATACAGTATAATTGGGTTTTTAGCCCATGCTGTAAGAATCAAAAAGAAAAGCCGGTATCCACGTGTCCAGTCAGCTACTCAAAGCAATCCAGAATGGCATTCCAAAGGAATGAGTGGGAAACAAAAATCAGACATGAGTCATGGAGCGTTCAGCAAAGTGAGCTGATGAGCTCCCTGTGGTGGTGGTGCCCCTCATGGAGCTCTGGCAGCTGAAGGCACAAGCACTGGCTGTCTGTGTAATGTCTTATTCTAATGATCGGGTTGTTGGAAGTCATGATGCATTTTTGTATAGAACATAGAAAAAATACATCATGACTTGTCTGACAACTCAATATTTAGTTAATGCAATTGATTTCCACGGAGCAGTCCATTCAGCTAGCATTTGGGATCTTAGTATGTGAGAACCAAGTACTACAAAAACATGCAAAGGTAACTAAAACTATTGCTTTGTGTGTGAAATGAAGTGTTTCAGAACATAGTTCTTTGTCTCAAGTAGCTTAGTATCTTGTAGAGAGATGACTGATATCTTCATGTATAAAATAAAATAACAGGTTTGGGCTGGAAAATTTATAAGAAGTCAGCCAAGGCTAAAAAGACTATAATTCC